GCCCAGCCATTGATATAATGGGGCTGGGCGGAATTCAATAGACCAGGGCAAGAGATAAAGTCAAAGGCAGGAGAATATGAGTTATTTGCTGCTTGCCCTCAGAAAGTTACAAGCGCCTTGCTTGGATGTCATGCGCGTGGTTTATTCGGAGACTGGATGGACATGCAGGGTCGGGCTCTGGTGCCGGTGCATGGACGCCAATTCGAGAAAAGAACAGAAAGGGAAAAAACGCGTGGGCATGCAGCAGTGGCCGACGTTAATAGTGAAGATCGGCTGGACTTCCCCTGGTCGGATTTGAAACGTCTTGGATAGAGCTCTGCCGAATCCTTAGAGGCCCCACTATGGAGGTATGAAGTATTGGCCTAAGAAGCAAACGTCAAGAGTTTGACGTGCAGAAAGTGTATGCATAGAAGAGTGGAAATAGTTGGAGATATTAAGTCCTTGCCTTGCCGGTGCACTAGTATCGTACGGAGGAGTACTATGGATAGATGATAGATATGGATGACAGGTGAGATTGATTGGAAAATCGCCGAGATATGTTAAATGTAAGGAGGAGAGTTTTTCATTTTTTCCCTGTTAAGTGTGTTCTGATCCTTCAAGAGTGTTCATGGGTATGCCCTTCAATGTTGGAACCCCTGAGTTCCTGAAGAATACCTAATATACGGAGTATTAACCACCAACCACTAAGCAAACCCCTCCAAGGTTAGCACCTTCGTACCCCTGGCATCTAAGGGGAATTTTGAGCCGAATCAACCCGTTTGACGCTAAGGGAGTTCATAAGTGTGTTTGAGTTATACTGGCCCCACTGATCGCGGGCTAACTTGGCCAACTTGGCTGTTAAACGCCTTGATTCAATCACTTGGCCATGACTCCTCTCGTTCCAATCCAAACTGCTCAGCTTGAGTTGGTCCACATGGGGAATGCCTCCACAGATGTCTCATGGGCATCCCGTTCTTTTTTTTACTAGGGACTCCGTACTTTACATACGAAAATTCTTTCCAAGGTTGCCCTGATTTCAGGCTGATATCCTGATATGCATAAATATCCAAGGAAGAACGGAGTATTAGGCGCATGGACCTTGAATAGCTCATGGTGATCTATCAGATTCTGATATGTTTTAATTCTTTTTAATCTATTTATTCACATTTCCGTTTTTAATTTATTTATTCATTTGGATTCAGCCTTTCTGCCACGATATCCAGTGTAACGCGTTTTTCCCCCTGCTGAAACTGGCCCTATTTTACCCTGCAAGGGTGAGACATCACAATTCTCTTACGCGCTGTACAAATTTAGTACAAATTTAGTACAAAGATAACAAAAGTATAACAAAAATATAATCAAGGAATTCCGTTTCCTGCCTTTCTACACGTGTACAGGGAAAAAGGCCCCTGGATGCCTCTTTTCTCCTCTCCTCCATACTCCATCCATCTATATTGGCTTAATATATGCATCCCCATAGCTCCTTGGTCCCACTCTCCACCTTAAAGAGCCCTTTTGTCGCCCTGGATTTTTGAATCCCCTTTGCAGCTTTGTACCTGTGGGATATTTGACACATCTTGGGTCTCCTTACCCTGGTCTCCTTTGTCCTTTTTGGTTTCGCATTTCCGTTTCTGCTTCGGAACTGCCTACACTTTGGAACAGCTACTCTCTCTTCTTCTGTTCTACCACCGATTACAACCATATAACTGCCGAGAACATGTTCGAACCTACTTCCTCGCTGAGCCTACATCGCTTGAGTAGGCATAGCCTCCAAGATCGATACGAGTCAGACGAGGAGGCTGTGTCTGAATCTGATACAGGCGCCCAAGATCTACTTTCCTCGCCCGTGGGCTCGCAGACCGAAATCTTTGATTCAGATCTCAGTGCCGACGAGAATTCTCACACAGACCCTGATTCTGACCGGGATGAGGATATTCTGGCTCCTCCGACAGTCAAACGCGCCAGGCCCGTCTCTTCTGCTACCATCAAGAGAAATAGCAATGCCACCTTTGACGAAGATACCTACGTGTTTGATCCTGAGGAGCAGATGGTTCTCGAACTGCCACCGTCAGATTCTTCGCCACAACTGGCATCCAGCACCTTTTTACAGCCCTCGATATACGTCTGGCCAAAACCACCGCAGCCGGCCACCTCAAGGTCTCGCTCTACTTCACCCTCATCGGTCTTTTCGGTAGAGGAGGCAGACATCCAGGTTGCAAAGGAGGTGACCTTCATGGAGCCCCGAACTCGTCCTACGGTGGTCTTGATCAACGCTCTGGAGTCACGGTCAAAGGCCTCAAAATCTCGTCCCAGCCATTCCCACTCCCGGGAAAGTAGCCGCACCCGCTCTGTGCTTATCAGGGCTGACAGTCGCCGACTTACACTGCCACGCTCGTCAGACTCAGCAACCAAATCACCGCGAGTATCTGAGAAAAGGGCCAGCATTAAGCAGGTGCCCAAGACAGCTCCAACTCCAACCCCAGCCCAAGCTCTAGAAGAAGATACACAGTTCGCACCCAGTGCAACCATCAACCGAGTCTCCGAAATCCCCCAAGTCCTCTATTTCCCAGCGCCACCACGCACAGTCCCAACACAAGAGTACCGACGACCCCGAACCTCAGGCCCAGACAAAGCAATGCCACCACCACTAAACCTGCGTACCCGCCGACCCCCCTCAATACGCAGCACGAGCAGCAACAGCGTCTCCACCTACACCTCCCGCCCTTCAACACCCTTCTCAGCCGACGACGGCAAAACAATGGACAGCGACGCGCCCTCCCAACTCACCAGAGTCTGCAGCCCGGCCTCAATCTCATCATCACCGCCATATATCTCCTCGAAGCGCAGCGGCTCAACATACAGTGTATCGAATATGATCACAAGCCGCTCGCCACTTATGATGCGTCGCATGACGAGAAAACACTCTGCCTCCAGCATCACTTCGCTGAGTAGTCTGCGCTCCGAAATCGGCGTTAATGGTGCCTCTTCGCAGATCTCGGTGGCTACGCAGCCTACCCCGCTTCCCAGTGCTGACTCCCATGTTGTGCGCAAGTCCAGCCAGCGTCGCCATACACGGCATAATAGCGTTCTGCCTGGGAGGGGCTTTATGGGATTGAAACTGGGGAAGAAGTCGCATACTAAGGTTTAGAGAGGTTCTTTGCTTTTTTCTTTTTTGCTTTCTGGTACTTCATATATATTGACCTAGTAATGTTTTTATGGGGATCTCTTGGATGTCTTGGGTTTCTGGTTTTTTATTCTGGTGTTTGGTATTTGGCGTTTATTTGTTTTGGATATTCGTTTTTCAAGTCTTTCACGTCTTTCCCCTCTCACCTCTGTTCTGACCAGCTAATGTATGACAGTCCTTGACTTGTTTAAGGGGGCTAATTTCTACTTCAAGATTTGGCGCATGGTAGCTTATTTTGGGAGAACTATTGGGTGGCTTTTGTTCTAGTTATGGTTATGCGATTAGTTCTGAATTACACATCGAGCCATTATGACGCAGTCTGATATTCATGTCTACATATTCATACATCCTAAAGCGTAAAGCCCACGTATGCTCCACGTATCCTTTTACATGTATATACTCTCCCGAGGTCAGTATAGAGGTAGTCATCAATCTCCCCGTAAACATACAAATGGAGACTACATGATCTCCTACTCTCTTCATTTCGGTAAGATGCAAGCGATATCATGCGTTTCTTAAGGGAAATTACATGTCTCGCCAGCGTACTGGAACCTTAGCAAGGGGTACCCGACGAGTTCCAGCGTAAACCCGGAGGACCAGCTGGAATCGAGCTCACTGGCTTGATGGGGGTGAACTCCCTGCTAGCTACAGCGACAAGGGCGAATATTGTCCTCAAGCTCGGGATTTGTTATATTGTATAATGCATACTCCATACAATATAGAGGGAAATGCGGAAATTTTCGTGTTCACTTGACCCACTGCCCCGATCATCCGAGACAGGACGGTTCAGCATCCACTGTACTCGTGCCCGGGTACTCCACTACGAAGATCTTCACTATGTATGCAAATGCCAAGTTTAGCGCTTACAGGATTGAAAGAGCCTTTTCTTTTTAATGAAGAAAGGACCTGCACGTGCTTTAAATAACTCGACCTACTGGGAAGTTAACCGATAACAAAATAGCAATGAATCCAGCACGAGTGTGGAATAGAACAATAAAACAGCCACTAGGGCACGAGATTTCGCAGTAAACAAGGAGAATTTCAAACGTAACATGCAGTCGTAAAAGGACTATGGGTTCTAGTCAAAGCCTACTTCCGCGCCTCCAGAGCAGCTTTAATGGCTGTTTGAAATGAATTAGCACCATTTCCTTTTGTAAATATTCATGCGAGTGACACTTACCATCGCAAGAGGTCTTGGCATCGCCGAATAACATCCGAGTACCGGGCATAAAGAACATGGGGTTTGGAACATCCGCTGTGAAAAAAAAAGGTTAGATGGATTCATTCATCAGACATGGCAGAGAAAGAATCATACCATATCCGCTGGACATTCCCCGCTTCATAACTATGACCTCCTTACTCTTCCACGCATGGAGGACAGGCATGCCGGAGATAGCGGAGTCTGGCTCCATGGCGATAGGGTTAACGGTATCATTTGCGCCAATGACGAGGGTGACATCCGTGTCCGAGAAGTCCTCGTTGATCTCTTCCATCTCTAGGACAACTGCATCAATTGTTAGCAAATAATTCACAGATTTCAACCATGAAGATCTTACTATCATATGGCACGGATGCCTCCGCAAGCAGCACATTGCATTGACCGGGCATTCGACCAGCAACAGGGTGAATAGCGAAGCGAACGTTGACACCACGGGCACGCAGCAAGCGAACAATCTCCGAAAGAGCATACTGAGCCTTAGCAACAGCCATACCATAGCCAACGACAATGATGACATTCTCAGCGCTGGATAAAGCTTCCACGGTGTCATCGATGCTGGTTTGCTTGATCTCGCCCTCAATCTTCTTCTGGCTTTGCGCAGCCGGACTCGAGATTCCGCCAAATAGGACATTTGTCAGCGACCGGTTCATGTTGATGCACATAATGTATGAGAGAATGGAACCGCTGACCCCGATCAGGGATCCGACACTAGTGAGAAGTGGATTGTCGAGCATCAGCCCTTCAGCCACGAGAGCGAATCCGGAGTAAGCGTTCAAAACCGTGATGACGACGGGCATATCGGCACCGCCGATGGCTGCTGTCGTGGTATATCCCTTCAGGAAACTGAGGATGGTGCTTGTTCCTAGACAGATAGCTGCGATTGCAGGGCTTCCTGGCGCCAGTGTAATGAACGCTCCCATGGTGGCCATATTACCGCCCAACAATGTGGAATTGACAACGTGTCGACCGGGCAGAATCGTCGGCTTGGAAGACATGCGCCCTGCCAGTTTCAGGAAAGCGACGATCGAGCCGGTAAAGGTGATACCGCCAATCAGAACACCCATGTACGCTGTGGTCAGGTGCAGAGTTGTGATGTCACCAATATCCGCCATTACACTTCCGGCACTAGTCAGAACAGCAGCCAATCCCACCACCGAGTGGAGAGCAGCGACAGTTTGGGGAAGACCTGTTGGTGTGATGCGACGGCCAATCAAGCCTCCGATCAAGGCACCTGTTCCAGCAACAGCCGTGAACTGTGTGAGCGTCTCAGTAGAGAAGCCTACCGCAGCCAGCGAGGCCAGAATGCCGGAGACTACTCCCAGGATACCGAAGATGTTGCCGCGTCGGGCTGTTTGCTGCGATGCCAGACTAGAGATTGAGCCCATGCACAGAATTGTGCTGACGAGATATCCAGCTTGGACAAGCCCGGACATACCAGTGCTGGCAGCCGCAATGAAGCCACCACCAAAGACTACAGCGGGGACAGCGTACAGCCATGGGTACTCGGGAGGGTCGGTCGGACGCTTGAACATATCCAGCATGCGCTTCGTGACCACAAAGCCGCCGGAGATATTCACGAAAGCCAAAAGCACGGAGGCGGCACCGAGATATTCAGGGATAGTAGTCGGCACATAGCCTCCTCCCATGATGAACAGTCCACCAATTCCGACCATGCCCGAAATGGCGTTGGTTACGCTCATAAGAGGCGAGTGGAGCGCAGGTGCTACGCCCCACACAGCACGATAGCCGACCAAACCAGCAAGTCCGAATGTCATCATGTTGCCCATAAATACTGGACCGGCTGCCTTTCCTAGGGCCAGGGTCGTGCCCATTGCACCTGTGACCGCTGTCACATCGCGTGTTGTCTTTTGCCACGGCGTTAAAGCGACATCCTCCTTCGCCGCGACAGCTTGTGCCTCTGGCTTTGGGGTTGGGGGTGGAGCGGGTGGAGCAGCAGGGGGGATTATTTCACCGTTCAGAGTCACGATGGAACCGCGCACAACTTCATCTTTAAAGTCAATCCCAAACGACTTCTCCTCGGGAGCCATGGAGAGAAGGTACTTGGTGATATTATTTGAGTATAGCGTTGAAGACTGGGTAGGGAGACGCGAAGGAAGATCTGTGTAGCCAATGATAGTAACATCCTTGTAGCTGCTCAATTCCCCAGGAACAGTAGCTTCGCAGTTTCCACCTGCTTCAGCGGCAAGATCAACAATAACAGAGCCGGGTTTCATTGCAGCGATCATCTCCTTAGTAATGAGCTTCGGTGCAGGCCTGCCTGGAATCAGCGCTGTGGTGATAATGATATCAACCTCTTTAGCTTGTTCCATGAACAGTTTCATTTCAGCTTCGATAAATTCCTTGGACATTTCTTTAGCGTAGCCACCCTGACCAGAACCATCCTCCTGGAAATCAACCTCGACGAACTCGGCGCCTAAAGACTGGACTTGCTCACGCACAGCAGGGCGGGTATCAAAGCCACGAACAATAGCACCCATGCGGCGGGCCGACGCGATTGCGCTCAACCCAGCTACGCCAGCACCGATAACGAGAACTTTACTCGGAGGAATCTTTCCAGCTGCAGTAACCTGGCCAGTCAAGAAGCGACCAAAGTGATTGGAAGCCTCCAGCACCGCCTTGTAACCAGCAATATTGGCCATGGAGCTGAGGGCATCGAAGGTCTGCGCACGAGAGATTCGCGGAATGCGATCCATTGCAAAAGAGGTCACGCCACGAGCCGCGAGTGCCTCGACGAGGGGCTTGTTCTGGAGGGGGTAGATGAAAGAGATAACGGTCGAGCCTTTGCGTAAAGCCTGAATTTCATTGAATGGTCCCTGTGACTGCGGGCTGCGGACCTTCAACACGATTTCGCTTTGGGACCAGACTGTATCCCGGTCGACCATTGTCGCGCCGGCCTTTTCGTAGGCATGGTCCAGTAGCTGAGCGCGCTCGCCTGCACCGCGTTCGATAAGCACGCGGGAGACTCCCTTTTTCAACAGAAGGGCAACATTCTGTGGGGTAATAGCCACACGGCGTTCACCCGGAAAAATCTCCAGAGGCACTCCAACGGTCAAGGCTGAGTAGGGGGTGGTAGACACGGGCTCGGAGGGAGGTGACTCAGACGAGGTTGTGGCGGTTCGTTTGGAAATGGAGGGCCATCGCGGCTGGCAAATGGACGGGCGATTATTCTGTAACGTGAAAAATGTAGGTTGCCGAATTTGAGAGGCTAATTAGACGAAAGTGGTCAGAAAACAGGTCAACTTGGGCTTCCCACGCCGCAATTTGGAGAAGCTTACCCGACGCCACCGGAAGGGAAGATTTCCCCGCGCGAGCAATGGACGCCCCAAAACACGGCCGCAGGGCTGACCGCAGCGATACTGGAGCGCTCATTGCGAGTGGTCCTGCAAGCTGCACGTTATGCCGGGTCTTTGTGTCTCATCTAATGCCTATTGGGCCCAGGAAGGGGGAGCAGGACCGGGGTACCGCATCCAGTCCGGGCTGAAAGGCAGATAGAAACAACACTAAAGAGCTTTAGAAAACGGAAGTCTCAAAAAGCATCAAGACAGCATAGCAGAAAAACAGAAGGAAAGAAGAGAAAGGAGGGGAAATTGAAGTGAAGGCAAGGCACCGATTCTCGGCAGAATGTCCAAGCAAAGAGGGGAAGCGGCTACGATTCCTACGTTGCGATGAAACCCCCGGATATTTGTAATTTATAGAATGCCCAACTGGTTATCCAGGCCAGTTGCTTATTACCTCTATAGCCTATATTCTACACCAACCTATAACCTGTAGTCTTTCCCCCCGCATAATCATAAAATGTGGGGGCTTTGGAGAAGATCGATAAGCCCTTGATGCTCCACATGTACCCATTTCAGGAACAATGATAGTATAGATTTTGAATTAGCTAGAATTAGCTAAAATATTATATGGTCTAAGCCCGAAAGCTATCTACTGAAATCTCTAAGGCATCAAATGCCCGGGACTAGGAACTGGTAGCCAGTTACACTTCCACATTCCTTCACATCATCGACCAGTGCTCGATTCACCATGGTCAGAGCTAACTTCATCCACCGTCTCAACAGCGCCCTTACTGTCGATAAAGTGAGTAATGCGGTCACGAGGAAGCCAGGCACTCTCAGGCATCACGAAGTAGGAGATCAATGCCAAGATGGTGACTCCAGCCATGATAATGGGGGCATCTATCCAGGAAGTTAGCGAGATAAAAATCTATGAAGAAAGAACAACATACAATTCAAGTTCTCTCCAGTGACAGGGAATGCGTAGGGCGAGAACAGGACAGCGACAACCCAGCCATTCCAGAAGACACCAATGAACTGGAACGGCTTACTCCAGCGGCCGAGACTCCACTGCGGCTTCGGGAACCGTTTCGGAGTGCAGAGTAGCCGACCCAAGCAGATCAAACCGTAAGCCGCAGCACTGGGGACACCGGCTGCCGAGACGAGGGAAGTGAAAGCCGTGGAGGATGGAAGAATGGAGCAAGTGACTATGGAGGCCACAACCCAGACAACAATAACTGCGTTCCGTGGCTGACCGTTCTTAACACGGGAAACCCAACCCGCGAAGGGGAGTACACCGTCACGGGCGACGGCAAAAACAAGACGAGAGGCGGCGACGATGGCAATTGCGGTGTTCTGGAAAACAAAGTTAGCTATGAAATACCCAAGCACACAACAGGTGATAGCTTACCAGCCATAAAGCGAAAATGCAAATGATGTTCATGAAGATATGGCCACCCTTGCCCAGAACAACAGCATAAAGAGGCACAAACGGCTGGGGTGAACCGAAGCCCATAAGTGTGTCGGCGTCGGGCTAAAGAAAAGCGAGGTCAGAATTCGAAGCTTGCGATTCATAGAGACCAAAGAAACGAACCGCGCAGAACAAGAAAAGAATAATGGTAGCCAAACCACCGAACCCACTGGCAACGGTACTCCAGAAGATACCGCGAGCAGCAGTGATAGAGGCATTCTTGGTTTCTTCCGCAACGTGACCCGACGCGTCGAATCCAATAAGAATACCAGCGGTAGCCAGATAAGAAAGACACCAGTTCCAGCCAGCCGGGGCTCCGGTACCGTTGTACGTGGTCATAAAGGCCTCGTGGGTGGTACGGAATCCCCAGGTTTGAGCGGTGCCGATGGGCAGCCAGATAAGGTTCAGGACAAAGTCAAGCATCACGACTGCGGCGGACCCCCAGAAGACATATCTGAAATATCGAGCTAAATGCTGTCAGATGTAGTCAATCGAAAGTCACACGTTTGTACATACGAGGTAAAAAGTTCAACAGGGCGGCCAGAGCAAGCAAAACCTCAGTGCAGATCCACTGGACTGCACGAAATTTGACACTGCTTACGTCCGACGGGAAATCGAGGTTGAATACGGTTATTTCCTAAAAGCGATATGTCAGTCTAAATGCCGGGAAAATGAAGAAAAAGAGAGCATACCGAAAGCATATAGTTCACCGCAGCCTGGGTGTTGCCTATAATTCAATTAGTATCATGCAAACATTGGGGGTAGACACGCAGCATACTTGCACAGAAGGTCGTCCAAGCCGTTGTACTCCACCAGGCGACGATAAAGCCAAGGAGTCGGCCGAATCGAGGCCCACCAGCTTCGGCGGCCCACAAGTAGATTGACCCGGCGGATGGGGAAGCTGAACAAACCTCAGCGATGACAGCAGCGGTAATGAATGTGAACACCATGGTTACTACATAACTAGTCCAATAGGCCAGGTTTCCACCGGCGGCAATACCAGTACTGAAAGTAACGCGGACACCGCCGACAAAGTAAAGAGCAGCTAGACAAAAGTCAGTACGAATCCGCAAAGTGGTGAACAGCGTAAAACGTACCGAATGTGGTCGCAAAATTCTCGAACAAATTATATGTCCGATGAAGAACCTGTTTTGCGACTAAGTTGCTGACCACAGATCATCTTAATCTATACGATTCGACCTACCGGCTTATAACCCAAGGTCCGCTAGAAGATTACGTACGATGTTAGTTAACTTGAGATTTACAGACAAGCCTGGATGCAGCACTTACCAGCAAGGCGGCATCATCCTGATTCTTGAGCTCGGCCCGATCGACTTCACCTTCACCTTGATTGGCGAGGAGGTCAGCGGAACCTGCGACAGGGTCGTGAGTGGCCATATCTGGATCGCCGGTATGTAGGGAAAAGAAAGAACCTTCTGTATCAGGTTGAGAAGAGATCAGAAATTTTAGAGATAGACTTTCTAAGGTTATTAGTCCCGCGGTCAAAACGTGCTCAGAATGATCCACCGGGAAGATTAGGACCCCACAGCTGGATTTGATTGCGACTATGACAATGACTGTGATTTGTGATTTATGATTTATATACAACATATTATTAGGCATGTATAAAGGAAGAGTCTTCCAATTTTCCTATACCCGAAGGCTATTAAATCGTCCGGGTAAGTATCACGTCGATTAAAAAGTTTCCAAGGTTGGAAGGTCCGGAGGGGGTCCGTCCGATATTACCGGCAGTATCTACCCAGTTGCGCCATATCAAAATTTCCCATGGTGAAGTTTTTACCGCCCGCCTCACCGCTTATTACGTAATATTATGGGGGCCCGAGCTCCCGGATCAGTAAGTTATCCCGACCTGCGGAGTGTACCTCCAGGCTCCAGGCTCCAGGGCTCCAGGGCTCCACCTGGGCCGGGCTAAGTTGCTCTCCCCTGACGAGCTTCCATTCTCGTACTTTCGAGCTTTTGACTACTCCAGACTCGGTGGTAATCGCACTGCCTAACATTCCTACGAGTTCAGCGGAGTAAGCATCTATCTAAGATAAATGATAATACTTTCAACAGGTTGCAAGTCCAGTATAGTTGAACCAACTGGGGTACTATATATATATTAAGATCATTTGCACCTTCGCGAAAATCAGTCTCTAATATTGAAGTGAGTCATTTTAGGCCACAAGCCAGGCTGTTCGTAATTATTGACTCACGTGTATTCGCTAGCAGTCACTAGAAGTAGTCCAATATATAAAATGGCCTCAAACCAGGCTTTACTTCGAAGTACGGAGTACATACTTCCCTTTCTTTCTGTCGACGGCCTGAGGCTCCGCTCTCTGCCTATGTAGGCGGGATCTTATGATAGCTTCTCTTTCTCTTCTTCCTTCGTGCACTTTGGCCAGAATACAGGCTTGTTCCCCCCTTTTGCTTCCTTGTCAATTTCCCTTTGCGCCAGATATCTTCTACCACGTCTATGGATATCGAAACAAAGTTGAAGTATCTCCAATGGCAAACCAACTATACTCATATTAGACCATATCGAATCGCCCAATTCGGTCGCAAAAGGAAGAACAATGAGCAAAAGACGCCGCACAATCTAGTTTTCCAGGAAGGAGCCGTTGCCGAGACCATCAGAGATATCAGAGGAATAGAAGCAGAGGGAACCTGGAGTTTCACCCTTGAGACCAATGGCTTTGTGTATCGGAGGTACCCGTCGCCTTTATTCACCAACCCAAAGGATTTTGGCGATCCATATCATATTCAAAATATATTTTTACCAGAATGTGAGGCGATATTGAGAAATGAGATTGAGGGAGTCGAGCGAGTTTTCATTTTTGATTGGAAAGTGAGTATTCGAGGGACCTCGGAAGTCGAGGCTTGATCTATCGAGACTTATCTTCTACCTTATGCTTTTAATAGATCAGAAAAAGGAAAAGCGCAAAAGAGCGGCGAGAGCTGAACCAAAATTTATTGAGCTTTGCGCGACACGTGCATATAGGTAAGCCGAACTGAATATCCGACGAGATCAATTCACCGCATTTCATTGCTAAAAGAATCCTCAAGACACTATGCTCACCAAAGACGAACCTGGAACTTCCATGATAGAGCGCATTCGCAATCATCTCCCCGAAGAAGCTCACTACCTTCTCTCCGGTCGAGTACAAATGATAAAGTAAGTGTGCAGAAAAATAACTGGAGACTTTGTAGCTCGCATTCCTTTCTTTCAAAAGCTGTATACATGCTTTTTATAGCTTTCTTGGTTTCCTCTGACGTGAAAAATTTCAGCATATGGCGGCCAATTAATGGACCTGTCGAAGATCAACCTATTGCTGTGTGTGATGGAAGAACTGTCGACACATCTAAATTGGTCGAAACAGATATGATCAGCGGTGATTATACAGGAACGCTGCTTTATCCACTTTATGAGCCAGGGAATATTCGCCAATGGCACTATTTGAGCAGACAAGGCATTGAAGATGTGCTGCTGTTCAAGAGTTTTGACTCGAAAAAGGGTAGTGTCGAACGTGAGTGATATTCCAACCCTGCACTCCATATTCCATCCCAAAATTTATTCGAAGATGTAAAGACTGGAAATGAGTGCAAGATGATCCTAACAAAGCATACATCCTAACAAAGCATACCATGTTATAGATGCCCCCCACACATCGTTCACACTGCCGGATACCCCGAGTGATGCACGCCCAAGGATTAGTGTTGAGGTCAGGGCTTTAGTGTTCACGCGCTCGATGTAAAGTCCGTAGTAGTTACTTTGCCGTTCTCAGGTTATCTATCAAAAATAATTATTACAAGGCCCTGCTATAGCCATGGGATATAGCTATAGCAGAGGTAGGACTAAAAATATAAGGTTGGTTTCCATATATGCCTATAACATGTCGGATGGAAACCGTTCATAAAGCAGCAGCCGTTAACTTCATTATGGAAGGCACAGGGCCCGGTTACTACTGCGAGCTGATGAGAAATTGATTTGTATCTATGAGATGCATACGTCGGGTAGCGACGTCTGCGAAGAACAGTACATTAACCAGAGTCTCTTATCGTTAATGTTGATTTCCTTTTACTTTACTATATCTATTACTCTACTTTATATAAAAGCATAAGTCTTAAAAGTCGTAGATATGTAGACAATCATTCATGGTGTGCCAATTCCTGCCTGTCGATACTTTTCGACCTCGCCATTCCACCGCAAAATACGCTCAACACAAAGCCCATGGTGTTTGGGTTCCTCAACTGGCTCGTCTCCTTGGCTATCAAACGGGTCGATAATCCAGGGATGCATCTGGAGTCGACGAACAAACTCAATATCCCCTTGACCATCATCAAGCCAGATGTCATCATCGTAACTTCTATGCCAATTGAATAAGCGTGATGTTGCAACTCCCGATTGCTCATCAGCAGTATATCTTTTGGGGCAGGGCAAGCTTGATTGTCTGCATATATTGATGGTAATCGATTCTTTGTTAGACTTATTAGCATGACCCGCAGAATCAGAATGATGCATAGCGTGAGCCTCAACAAGCCTAAGTCGATGCTGCGCACCTGCCGGAATTCTTTCGCTTGAGTCCAACATCCAATATATCCTCCAAGAAACAGGTCTGTGCATACGTGCAAGGTGCGCTTTTACTTCAAGGCTGAAATTTTCGACGGGTGTTGTGCCGAAGGGAGGTGCTGGCGACCATGGCACTGATAACTCTGGTCGGCAAAAGTAGGAAGTTTGAAACTCATCCGCTCTAGAAATGATACATCCTTCCGAGTCACGTACACGATATGCTATCTGAAGAAAGGATTGGCCCGTGTTTGTCCAGAAGGCGGCGACCAGACATATCGGCGGTAGGCTGTGGAGAGCCATGTTCAGGAATGAAGTTACCTGGTCGGTGCACACTATAGCAGCCCATAAGAGACTCAAGTGAGGTCTCATATTGGTAACTGCAGAGAGAATCTTTCGATTGTCGATCTTGTCCACTGTTGAGAGAGCTTTCCTCATACCCAAAGACACAGCCCCTACTAAATACATGGAATGCATGGATCGAAAAAGGCACTGCAGAGCAACGAATGCAGAGCATCCTGTGTGGAGCTAAGAGAAATGCACGTATCATCGATTGAAAAAATCAAGAAAAACCATGTCTTTCGATCTCGGTAAAGAGTGCATAGGAGCTGTAGAAATCATTATAGGGAGAGCGAATTTGGGTGGGGCTGCGTGCCGTGAGGTCAAGATTAGATTAAAACCGAGGCAAAACCAGCGAGAAATTCTCCTTCCAGACCTTCTGACGCGCCGAAGCCTAGAAGGATATCGAACGCAAGGGACGAATTCGATGTGACTGGTTTCCAGTCACCTCTTCAGACTTATTAGCCGACAAGAACCAAAGATGATTTATACGATAAACATACCGCTTGTCTGTTGTGTCCTCTTTTCTCGACATCCACGGTGAATAGAAGACGCCTTTTTGCTTTTCTATCCGAGCTACCCAGCAGCCCTGCGTGACGATGTCCTAAAAAGAGTCTTCTATCTGCATGCCTCGCTTATGCAAGATCTGGCTTTCCTCGCCTGCCCGTTGAAGTATCTCCACCAAGCGGCAGGAAATAATGTATGAAACAGGCCAGAACAATGCTTGTAAATATTCAGAACGAAGAGGTCTAGCGCAAATGGGAATAGCGGGTTCTAGCTGGGTCTCAGCCTTCGTCCTGTAGGTTACGGGCGCTGGGGATCCGAGGCACTGGAGATAATCGATTGACTTTGAGGTTGATCGCAGTTCGAAGTCTTCTGCCGTTTTAACCTGTAGAGAAGACTTCAAATAAGAAAGGACCTTGGTCTACCTGAAATGTTGACGGCTCCTGGAGGACAGTGATAGAACGGAGGGACATCTTCAAGGAGATCCAAGAAAGCCGTTAGATAGTATTGGAAAGATTCCGTGCATTCCAGATGTGTAAAAGCCGCATTTTTCCAGTCATCGATCTTTGACTGACAGCAATAGTTGAACTGTGCTGTTGTAGGACAAACTCCAATTCCGTCACCAGGGGACCAGGTTATATCGCTGTCACTGCTGGATCCATTACTATCGTCGAACTGGTATGTGTATTCGCAGTTGGAAGACTCCTTAGTTTACTCTGATCAGTAGCGGACGAATGAAGACTTGAGTCTCTGGTTCCCATAACGGCCACATAGGTTAACTGTGTCGTAGAGGTAGCTGTCCTCTAGGTGAGCGACGGGATGAATTGAAAACGTAGGGGAAATGCAAGTGATATAGGGCGAGACAGGCGGTGAAAGATGCGGTAAAAACAGGTAAAACAGCCAGAATTGCTTGGTGTTTGTTTAGCCAACCTTCCGAGGTTCCAATAATTGGAGGCTTTGTAGCTCCCATTCCTGTGTTGGTGTTGTCTATCTTGGTTAATCTGTAGAGGCGATATCCATGGAGGTACCATATCTCATCGCCCAAGTCCGTCTATCCGTGAATGGAATCTTGCTTATACTTAATTGAACACACTACTGCAGTTTAGTAGAACCTACACGTCTAAATCCAGTAGAGGGCCGTACTGATACCTGATACCCTTGATATTCCCGCTACTCTTCCACACTATCAGAGAGCAGCTCATTGAAAAAGTACAACCGAAAGACATGAGTATACCAAACGCAATAATATTAGCTCAGACATTAGTTCCGCCAACGTCATCTTCTAACAACCTAACCTCAGGCAAATGCCTCCTCCTGTATCGGCGTTTTCTCTGACATGACATCCAGACACTGCGAGCTAGCCATCCATAAAGATTAACCGTTGCCCGTGGGGGCAGGTCATCGTAAGAAATATATATGTACAATCAATCGTTCGTATGCCTTGTCGAAGTCCCCTTCTCCACATCACTAGCATCAGACTCATTCTCGGACTCATCCTTGCGTTTGAACTTCATCATCTGCCCCAGACGACGGAATCCGCGCCCAAACGGCCGCCAGATCCAGTGCATCCCCCTAGTAAGAGGACGATACACCATCATGAACGGCCTGCCGACAACGTGGGCGATGGCCGCAAACCAGGGGTCGGGGAACGTGCGGATGACCATGGCCCAGGGAAGGGAAAATGCAGCCACCACGATACAAATGGCCCATTGGACCCCGTTGATAGGGACGATGCTGAAGGCGACGCCGCCGTAGTTGGCGATTACGGCTTGACAGCCGACCATGATGATGTTGATGCCGATGAAGAACCAGTTGCGGTGGAGCCCGGTTAGCACATTGAATTTGTTGTCGAGGCGTCGGTTGTTGAATTCGTTGAAGATTTGCATCCAGACGAAGGTGTTGAAGACGACGGAGCGTCGGACGTCGTCTTCGTAGTCCAGGAAGCCTGGGGCTTTGACGAAGTGCATGATTAGAGTTACGGTTAGTTGGAAGATGGCTTGGCCGATGATCATCTTCCACATTGTTGTTGAGAAGAGGGGGGCGCCGCCTTTGATGGGTTTGCGGTCGAGGATTTGTTCGGTCGGGGGGTCTGTTGCTAGTGCTAGGGCAGCTAGGGAGTCCCTACATAGATGGTTAGTATTGTCTTGAGAGGTGGAAAAGGGGTAACTTACATGATCAGGTTGATCCACAGCAGCTGCACCGCGGTCAGCACCGACCGCATCTGTGAATCCGCCACGGAGGAAATGAAGGTCAACAAGACGGCGGTGATGTTGACGGTGATCTGGAACTGGAGGAACTTGCGAACCGCGTCGTTGACGGCGCGTCCCCACATCAAGGCCGTCAGGATAGAAGCGAAGTTGTCGTCCATCAGGACAATAGCGGAGGCTTCTTTGGCAACCTCCGTGCCTGCAATGCCCATGGAGAAACCAATGTTGGCGGCCTTGAGGGCCGGTCCGTCGTTGGTACCATCGCCAGTGACCGCTACAATCTCGCCCATCGCCCGCAGCCGAGTGACGAGAATGCGCTTGTCTTCGGGGGAGGATCGAGCCAGAACTTGCAGCTTGGGTAGCACTTCATCGAACTCCTCGTCTGTGAGACGGCGGAAATCTGGGCCTTCCATCACCAGGCCATCCGTGTAGATCCCACAGTCGGTGGCGATCGCCTTGGCCGTGACCATATTGTCACCCGTCACCATGCGCACGATCACGCCGGCATGATGACACTTCGCTACTGCTTCAGGCACACCAGGACGGATGGGATCCTGGATGCCAACCACGCCGAGTAGAGACATGTCCTTTAGCAGCAGGCTGAGGTCGGCGGACGAGGGATCGCTGGAGTCGACAGCCTCCGCTGGAGGCCAGGCGGCGAAGTCACGATAGGCCAGGGAGATCGTCCGGAGAGACTGCTTTGCGTAGGAGAGGATAACGTCTTCGAGTCGCTCCCGCTCGGTGCCATCAATAGGTCGTGGTCCAGCGGAGGTCCAGGAGGTTGAACTGTAACCGAGAAGAATCTCAGCGGCACCTTTGACCAGGAAGCGATAGCGACCCGATGGCAAGCGCAAGACGGCGCCCATGCATTTGCGGCCAGAGTCAAAGGGCATCAGCTGGATGGTCGGGGCGTTGGCACGCTCCTCCACCAGGGAAGTCATTCCCAGTACATCCCGAGCGAAGCCCAGCAGTGCCGTTTCAGTCTTGGAGCCGACGAAGCCCGGCACCCCGTTTTCTTCGCCGTCGAACGCGGTCGAGTTGATCGCTACCGATTCGATCATCATCTGTTTCTGCTCCGCTGGGAGGTCTTTGGCGAAGTCTGCTGATCTTGTTTCGTTGCCTGTCTGGCTCTTGTCGTCGAAAGCGGCATCGCCGAAGGTTCCTCTCACCACCGTCATGCGGTTCTGCGTGAGAGTACCGGTCTTATCGGAGCATACGGTCGTGGCGTTGCCCATCGTCTCGCAGGACTTGAGCACGCGGACCAGGTTGTTCAGCTTGACCATCCGGGTGGTTGCGAAGGCGAGGGCGAGAGTGACAGCTAAGGGGAGGCCCTCGGGCACGGCGACGACAATCACCGTGATCGCCACGATGAGGATATCCGTGAACTGCGAGGCCTTCTCAGAGCTGGTACCGGTGTTGCCCGACAAGTTGCCCAGAAACCGGAAGAGCAGAACGAAGAACAACAGCAGGGCAGCGCTGCTACCGAGCTTGGCGATAGCCCCGGCGAGATGGTCCAGCTTCTTCTGCAACGGGGTCTGTTCCATATCCTGACGCATGGCCATGAGGATCTTTCCAAAGCTGGAGTTGACGCCGACAGATGTCACCAAACAGGTGCCGACTCCCTCGAGGACCTTGCTTCCGGAGATGATAAACGGGTCCAAGTCTTGGGCCCGGCTGTGGCCTTCGTCCAGGAGACGCATCACCTGTTCGCCGCCGGTCTTCTTCAGCTGGTCGGATTCACCGGTGGCAGAGGACTCGTCGCATTTCAGGTTGTGGCCGTCGATGAAGATGCCATCGACCGGGATCAAGTCTCCCGGCTCTAGGTTCAAGATATCACCCACTAGGACATCGTGAACGGAAATCCGCACCGTTCTTCCCGAGCGAGTGACGGTCACCTCCCGATCCTCCTTCTTCTTGTTGAGTCGGACAAAGGCCCGTTCCTTTTGGTAGTCGTTTAGTGACCCCACCAACACCACAATGCAAATGGCCACGCAGATGGCACATCCTTCCACCCAGTCGAGTCCCATCCCGGAGCTTCGTTTGGCGTGAGACCCTTCTCCACTGGAGTGGTTCGGATCAAATGTTTCGTACAGGCCCAGGGCGAGGGAAATGACGGCGGCCACGGTAAGCAGGATCAGGACCTTGTCGTTGTATGCAATCCACATGAGCTTCCACAGCGGCGTGGCTTTCTTCTCCGGCAGGGTATTGGGCTTGAACACTCGGATTCGATCGTCAAACACGTCGGCCGGCTTCTTTCCAGCTGATTTCGATGCGACGCCGCCAGCATCCTCCGTATTCTTTCCGCCGACGAAAGACTCGTCCACGCTGAGACCGGCCGAGACATCCGTGTGCAGTCCCCGGACCAACCAGGGCAATCCACCCAACGCAACGAAGGCGGGGAGGGACTTAGGGTTGAGTAGTTTGTTAAGCTGTCCCGGGGAGAAGTCGAACGGGTTGTCCTTGACCTCGAAATCGCCCTCGGAGCCCGGGTCGGGTCGAAGCGCCTCCTCTAGCTCGCTGACCGAGTAGATGCCCGACGTACCACAAGATGGGGCCCGCTTCTCCTTGAATATGTCGTCCTGCGGACTGCTGGGGGCCATCGTACTGCCGCTCATGGCTCGATCCCGGCCGGTCTGGCCTTCAATGGCGGTCAGGTTGCTGTTCGATCGATCTCGGGAGAGGGTATCGTCGTTGCCCGGGGTGAGGACCGAGGCACTGTTATTGTCGGGCACCTGGACGATAATCTCAGGGATAGAGTTCGCGCCTAGATGGCCTGGCTCCTGCGTTCCTCGAGCTTCCATTGTGTTGAAAATCGAACGGTTCCTGGCGCTGGTGCGAGAGAGCTACTAGTCGTGCATCCACAGCCATTTACGGTTTAGAGACTTGGAGCCGCTGAGCGACAACTTCATGATAAAACTCTGGAGGTGAACGATCACCATTGCACAGCCTCAATCTCTCGGGCTCGGCGGCCGCGTTATGGGGTCCAGCATTGGTATGCCAAGAGATTGTTAAGAAGGCCCAGACGGGCCAAGCCCGCCCATGCAGGGAGTGCCATCGATGATCGCGATGACTAGCTGTAATCTAGTCCAGAGGGGTTTCACCAGCATTGGCTAGAACCAGCACGAAGGAGTCTGGATTGCGGGGGATCTACTTACCAACGCGGGGGAGGACTCCGTCGTGAGGCATCTTATCCGCGAGAACGGCCGTGCACGGCCGTGCTCCAGCGTGAAATCGCGGGGTGAATCCGATAGAAAAGCCCCGGTGTCTCCACAGTTTCGCCTTGCCAAACAATGCAAGCCTTGTCTTGTCTTTTTCCCCCGTCTGAATCGTGACCAGCATAGCCCACCATGGGGTTCAATCTGCATGCCGACAACAGCAACGATCCACCTGAGGTGCGCAACTGGCGCGTGCATCTCATCGCCCTGGTCGTGAGTATGGGAGCCATTGCCAGTATGTCCATTTCACTCCGAGCATGACCCTGAGGGCGAATGGTTAATGCGATGGGTGGTGTAGTGGGTTACGATACTAGTGTCATCGGAGGCACCATGGCCTTGGAGCCCTTCCGCCGTGACTTTGGCATGGAGCGTGTCTCCGACCTGGAGACTGACACGCTGGAAGGGAACATCGTGTCGACCTTCCAGGCTGGTTGTTTCTTCGGGTCTCTGCTCACCTTCCCCTTGGCCGAGCGATTTGGGCGCAAGATGGCCATTGTGATGGCCATCTCCATCTTCTGTGTGGGAGGAAGTCTGATGGTGAGACCCCTTTTGGAACCACTAGTCACTGGAAAGATCTTGTCAATAGCTAATACACAGAATGAACAAGACTGCTGCTTCAGGCCATCTGGGCATGATCTATGCCGGCCGGGCCATCGCTGGGTTTGGCATCGGCTCCGTGTCCCTGCAGGTTCCCGTGTACATCGCGGAAACAGTACGTTAGCTGTGCACCAGATGGGATCATGACAGATCTAATAGAGCCCATCTAGTCACCTCCCTCAATTCGCGGTCGTCTGGTTGGCATCTTCGAAATTTGTTCGCAGGGGGGCGGTATGTGGGGGTTCTGGATCAACTATATCGTCAATCGCACCATCCCCCAAGAGAAGATGGCGCAGTGGCAGGTTCCTCTGGGTCTCCAGCTGCTGCCGGGTGGTTTGCTGCTCCTGGGGATCTTCTGGTGTCCGGAGACCCCCCGGTGGTATGCAAAGCAAGACCGGTGGGAGGAAGCCGAGCGCAGCCTTATCTGGATCCGAAAGCTTCCCGCCGATCATCCCACGATTCAGGATGAGATGCAGCAGATCCGCGAGCAGATCCAGATCGGAGTCCCTGCCGCAGGAACCAAGCATGATTTCTGGAATTACGTCCATCGACTGTGGCAGAAAGGCACCCGCAACCGGATCGGCATTGGCCTTCTGCTGATGGCGTTCCAGAACCTGACCGGCGTCAATATCATCACATAGTAAGAGCGGCTTCCCTTGCTTTTGGGCTACGCATGCACCGCTAACCCTGCCACAGCTACTCGCCCCGGATCTTTGAAACCCTGGGAATAACAGGTACAGATACGAAACTGTTTGCGACGGGGTTTTATGGGGTGGCCAAAACCTTGGGAATGATCATCTTCAGCGTCTGGCTGGTTGAGAAAGTGGGACGCCGCAGCGGGCTGATCTGGGGCGCCTTCGTCGGCAGTCTGCCCATGTGGTATATCGGGGGCTATGTCTTCCGGGCAGACCCCGAAGGCGCAGCAGCCCGTGGCGACACGGCGCGTAATGCATGGAGTTACATCGCCATGGTCTGTGTCTACCTATACGGGCTAATCTATTGTGCCACCTGGCAGGGCATTACCTGGGTGATCTGCTCCGAAGTTTTCCCGATTGACATCCGCATGCTCTGCGTGGCGCTGACCACGGCGAATCAGTGGCTGTGGTCGTTTATCATCAGCCGCACTACGCCATATATGATCACCTCGCTTGGATACGGGACATATTTCTTCTTTGCCGCGTTGATGGTGTGCATGGGCTTTTGGGCGTGGTGGTTCATTCCTGAGACCAAGGGGAAGTCGCTGGAGGAGATGGACGTTTTGTTCGGTGCTCAGCCCGCGCCAGGGGATGCGGAATGGGGGGTGAAGGAAGAGACGGAGGTTGCAAAGGGAGGAATGACAACGGCTCATGTGGAGAGAATATAGGGAAGGTCACTGGTAAATAGTCGAGGCGTCGAAACGTGGATGCCTTGAGGGTCGAGAGGATCTAGTGAGAGTAACCCTAGCCCTAAGCCCTAATTCATATTCCTATCCTCCTGTACTCCATCCATACTTTAGGATTGAATCTCCATCGTCTCTTCCCTTTCCCTCCCTTCTCTTTCTTTCTTCCTCGTCTCCTTATCTCTTTCTTCGTTCTCCAACGCTCCGCTCTCTTCCAAGTTGCCAACCCCCGCACCCCCAACTCGGCGTGGCATTCCCTTCCCCCGCTACATTCATGCTCCCCGCTTCCCCGCCCTACGCGGTAACGGACTAGATTCCCAACCAGGATGTGATGCACCTCCACGGTTTCTCTCCCCTTCTCTCCAGATATCATGAGAGATACACATGACAAGCCGGACCCCGGCACAGACCGCCCTGCGAGCGGAGTCGGCCCCTGTTCTCCGTACCCATGCCCAGAGCGGTAAAAGATAGAGCGTGGCAGTGCTCTTGGGACTCACTCGCTACTGCGGGGGCACCACATCGGGAAAAGCAAGTTAAATATTTTGGCTTTTGGCGTCTAAGCCAAGCAGAATCACGCTAGCGGTCGGCTGGGAAGGCCTGCGCAGTTCTTTTTCCCACCTGCAGTCAGTCTCTCGCCCGAGCCACTTTGGCCGTCGCCATCGCCGATAGGGACCTGTCATCGCTGATGTTCTGCCCCCGAACACACCTCTCTACCCTGGCTCTGACCGCATTTGTTTGCTCCTTTGGCCGTCTGTCAATCATGAACACGAGTGGCTGGCTTGCCCATGATGGAAGACCTGTCTCGCACGTCCTGGAACGGAATACCGCCCAGGATTGAACGCCGTGGCACCGTGGGGGATAACCCGGCTGGGTCGTGGACCTCGCAGACGAGGCCCGTCACCATCGCTTGTGAGCGGTGTCGGAGAAGGAAGATTCGATGCGATGGGGAGACGCCGTGTGCGACTTGTCGCCGTTTCTCGCTGCATTGCATACGACCCCGGAAGAGCAGCGAAGGCCAGGCGGCGCTGGAGCAGCGCGTACAACAACTGGAAGCGCGCATTGTTGAGCTGAGCACCGGGATACCAATCCCGCCGGTTTCATACCCAGGAGATAATCGTTCGGCACGTCATCCCTCGCAGCCGTCTCTTCACCTGCTCACTGACCTGGCGCCACCGAAGTATGCCGACTCTAGTTCCGAGTCATTTGGGCACTTGTTCCCCGATAGCAGTCCCTCCACGCTGGACATCCCTCGGATCGAAGTGGTGGACTTTGCCGATAACATGTCTCCGTGGTCTTCGTCCTACATGTCGTCCACAATGTCTGCAGCTCCGAGTCCCCTATCCCCCGTGTTTGACGGACGCTTACTGCCGCCGAACATGGGGATGGCGTTATCTCCCCCGATGTTGGTGTGTCCGTCGCCCGGACATGATCCTATCCCCCATCTATCACCAGGGAACTTGGTAGAATCGCCCCGCTCGCGACGGTCATCGATGTCAATCTCAGAGTATAATCTGGAGCTGGACCATTCGAACCCCAACTTCCCAATGGCCGACATGGGAGAAGACATCAAACCACCGGGCTTCAGCTTCTTCCCGCCCCCCGAGACGGACAATCTCAGTGGCATGCCGACTAGCGTGGAAATCCAGCCCCTTCTAGATATTTTCCTCCAAAAGACCCCCGGAATGGGATATCCCCTCGGCCATGACATGTTCCAGATCTTCCTCGATGTCATCGACGGTCCCTCGCACCGACCTGACACTCACGGAGATGGATACCCAGTCTCCATGGCCAAGTTTCACGTGTACATGGCGATGGCGGTGGGATTACGGATGAAAGACAACTGTCGACCGCGAGAATTGGAGTTGCTGGAGACCTGCTATCGGGTGGCTTTGGAGCAGATTCGGTCGCGTCGTTTCTGGGACCAGCCCTTGGCGGGTGAAGCTGCGGTGCTGCTGATGTTGTTCGCACAAGCTAGTCAGCAAACAAGATCATGATGTGATATGGCCCACTATTTAGATACATACGTAAATTGCCTCTTCCTAGCTTCATGATATACGAACTTATTCCGCACCACTCCTGTCAACTTATCCTAATCATACAGATTATATTTGTTTCTCCCTACTTGTTAAGTTCATCGTCACAGAAAAATATGTCCGTCATGCTACTGCTCTTGCTTTCTCGGCGAGCATCCTCCATACCGTGAGAGGCTGGTCTAGCGCCAAAGCGCGCTTCTCAGACCCGTCGGTCGCCTTCTCCCATCGAGCGTATCCCTCCTCAATGAAGGTCTCGAGAGATATGGGGAAGCAAGAATTTCCCAGGCATTCGCCTAGCTTCACGGCATCCATCAGCGCATGATTGCCACCCTCCCCTGCGAATATTGGCATGGCGTGAACGGCATCTCCCGTCAACCGGACCCGCTTCAAGGCCATATCCTTTAAGTCCTGCTTCGGCGTACGGATTCGTAGATCCTGACGGGGATGCCGTCCGCCAGGAGGACTGGGGCCAAGGATGCGCCTGCGAGTCCGGCGCCGATGATGAGAACCGGGCGTGTTGTAGACATTTTGACAAGTCGGGGGGAGAGTCATGTTTGAGAGCGTGGAAATTCCTCTTTCTGTTGTAGACCGTTTGCCTGGCCTCATCTCCCACGGGGTGTGGGTGGAAGGTGGAGCCATCCATGGATATTCCCGTTCAATCCGTCAGTCACCGTTGCTCACCAATTTTTGCCTATGCGCTATGAAACCGCACGGTTTTGCGCGCAAAAGAATCGACTGTTTCTAGAACACGTGGCATCGTCACGGTTTGAATGACGATCGGCTGTCGGTAAAAGGCATGCGCTTGCTATCCGATCTTGCGCTTGGGGTAGTGTTACTACGTCCGCTACACTGGAAGACTCCGTTATGCCAAATTCTGAGGCATAGACAGCGGAATGAGAAGGGGATATGGCTCGATAGTTCCTCAAATGGGTTGATGCACCGCTCTGTAGTAAATTTACGAAGTTGCTTCGCCTCCATACGCACAAGCGAGTCGAAATTTTCGTAAAAGTGGCCTGGGACAATCCCATCAGCGAAGAAGTAAGCATAGAAAGCGAGGAGGTTGGTCAGGATAGCATAGACAAGGAATGAAGAAATCACTTATAGTTGAAGCTGTCAATAAATTCCTAGGCGTCGTAACCCGTGAGTATCGATCATACCACTATGCCAGCCTAGATGTACGCTTTGAGTTTTGTGCAAGATAGCAAATTTTTGTTGTCAGTTGAAGAGCTCAGGGGACTCACAATATCGGGATCGCCTTCAAACTCCCACGCTGGTATTTTCGCATTGTAGTCGGCCTCGTTGGGACAGCGGGGGTACAGGCTGCGCATTTCGATTTCTCTGGCTTTCGGATGGTGACTCTCGAGCCAGACGAAATTTTGTTCTAACTAGCTCCTTGCTAAACTCATGATATGAGGAAGAAATTGAAACTTATATTTTCAATAATAGATGGAATCTAGGGCGTGAGGTGCAGTAACGGGGGCAAAGAAGCTGTGAGTAGGCTATGCGTACTCCGTAGTAAGTGCCAACTAGGTAAATGAGGCTGGGGACAGCATTTATTTCCCTTGGCAGTTGTCAATGCTGGTCATTTATGCCAATGCCAATCAACGCCATTTAAATCAGACCCGGTGCAGCGACCTGAATTAGGAGAAGGCGTCTCATACCCATCTTCTGCGGTAGCTGGTAAGGGACAAGGAGGCTGGAACAAAAAAAAACCCCGACGAAGCCTGCAGTGCCCCCCAGGAATGGGCAAAAGGGCATCAAGCGAGAAAATCAAAATTAGGAACGAATCGATTCTACGGTGCCGATATATTGCTTCAAAAATGGTCTAAACATGGTGACGAGAAAACGAAGAGCCATTTTTCCTGCATCAGCACATCCTTTCTGGTCCCGTCTACCCTCCACCTCACACAGCGGCGATGTGCAGATGCCAAGAGTGATAGTGTCTGCAGATAAAATAGGGCATCAAATAATATCCATAGATTATCCTACAGCTCAGCTGAGAGGGTGCAGCCGTCGCGCTACTTGTGGGACACTTCAGCCTTTATATGTTCTTCGTCTTTTTCTTGTTTTTGTTGCTGGAAGATTTGGTCTTATTCAACATTTTGCCATTTGGTCACGGGTTAAAGTAAGGAAAAAGAGAGGAAGAGAGAAGGGAAAAAGGAAAGTGTTATCACTGACTTATTGAACTACCACGATAGATAAACAGACCTCTTCTCTGGAGCCGTTCGATATTTTATCGAATAGATTAAACCCCGGTATTTTATAACTACACCTTATTACTGAGATACAGAGGCCACTACACCGAGTTACCTATTAGATGTGCCTTAGCAGAAACGAGGGATGTTTGCAGAGGAAACTACTTTCATAATTGTGGACTCTTAAAGGGAAGCCGAGAGGCCGGAGGACACCCGGGATTACCATGCTGTTGTCAAGCTGCTTCTCAACCATGGCGCCAACCCAAACAATACAACAACTGAGGTCCTTTTAAGGATATCGGGGAACGATGCTAGGTAGAGCGCTCAGTTAATCTATACCGGATTATTAGTCAACTAATAAGTGTTGTCAAGTTATAATCAAGTAAGAAGTCATCCGGTAATCTAAAGGTAAATATAAGTAATAATGTAGGATCAAAGACGAAGAACTAAATTAGGTATATAAATAGGTGTCCTTGTATATCCCTAATTTCTCCTACTCCTAGATCTACCCTAGGGGTATATCTAGGCTGCGCCAAAACCCACGAAACCCAAAACCTAACCCAATCTATGGGCCCCCATTAAACCCATTAAATCCCATTAAATCGTAAAAACGTGAGACTAGTGACCGCCCGGTTCTCGGATGTAACGGGCGAGGGGCGGGATGAAGCACGGCGTTTGAAATATCAGATGATTCACGCGAAGTCAACGGTGCTTGCAACACTGGAGCCAGGCGCCTTAAAGGAGAACGACTTGGCAG